AAACACCGTTTCGAAGAAGAGGATAAAGAATTTGTGAGTTTATTTTCTCAATTTTCGCTCTCAGATTGCTAAGTACGAATCGTAATCCGAAACCAAGCCGACCCCTGGCGCTTTTCATTCTATTCGTCGATGTGACATTCGGAAACTGTTGTTTTATTATCTCAAGTTTGTGAACTTCATGGTAGTGCAATTTATTTCCTGCCACATGATTCATAAACTAAGTTCTCAAGGTCAAGTTGAATTCTTAACGCTATCGCTTTTTAGATAACTGAAAACTCTTCCACTGAATGGTAGTCCAAATGTTAGTAGTTTTCCATTCTTTGTTTAATTGTTTCGTTTTTTAATTATAAACCTTGTTTGTAATAAATATTGGAACAAGTAAATTGGGAATTTATTTTTAGTTTGTGGTGACCGTTAATCCAAGCCCTTGAACAAGGAGTGGCTAACCACATGGGGCCTCAACAACGAAAGTGTGTTATTAAACCGAATGTCAGCAAAGGGTCCTAACATCTACCCTTAGATCCTGTTCTTTTGGAGGCTTCCTAATTCTGAATTAATCAACCAATGGATGAATACTGACATTCCGTTTTTCCTACTTTATAATATTTCGACATGACTGGCTCAGTTAAAATGTCACATTCCATTTCAGTTCCAGTTTGCGTAATACTTTGCTGATGTGACAGTTTTGTAAACAGCGGTGTTGATTGTTGTTTTTGTTTTTTTGCTGATGTTTTTGTAGTTTAGATGGAAAAAAACTGAAGTTTTCTATTCAACGTAGCGCAGGTTTACAATTGAGTTATATCTGCCACACCGCAAGCAATCGTCAACAATTTTGTTACAGTTGATGGTGAAACTCCTACAGGGAAATTGTTCAGTCTAAAGAAGATATACCAACCGTTCATTTGCGCCTTTCCAAGTTCATTGTTCGTTATCCGCTTGAAGTGATTTGAATAAGACAACCCCTATTCCATTAGCTAGTTATTCAGTAGGGTTTTAGGAAGCAAGGTATGTGGTATTCAATAGTGCCATGCTGTTCTTCCAAAAATACTTGTCATCTTTTGCATCTGTGGTGCCAACAATCGGCAACAATTTGTTGGTCATCATAAATATTTCCGTCGCGATTAAATGCATTCAATTAGTGGACAATTATCGATCTCCCAAGGAGTGAAATCCACACCCAAGACCATCAAAGCTGCCTGATGCCACTGAATAATTGAATGGGCTAATCCTAACATAGCACTCCAAATAAATTTCTTCTTCTATGTTACCTTGACTCCTCGTTACATCCTATCCTCTCGTTACATTTTTCCCCAGATCAAATCATATCCGCGCAAAATTGAAAGTAGTGTGCACCAGGTTGCTGCCTCGCAAGCACGCTCCTCGCGTGCGGAAAAACGACAAGCTCGACGGCAACGCAAACTGGAAGAAAAACAGGCCAAGATGGCTGAGCTCAATCGCCTAAGGCGCCTCAAATTGATGATGTATGCGGACAAAATTGAACGTATCAAACGATCTTGTGGTGCAGGTTGTGACTTGACCGCTGAACTGAATGAGGATGATATTCATATGGCAGAAATGAAACAGCTAACTGAAACAGAGTGTGATGGAACCTCAGCTCCCAGTTCCGAAAAACTCGATGCCAAAGCAGCTTTAAACTTGGCCATGCATTTAGACGAGGATTGGGATCCGGAAAAGCATGATCAGCTTCTTGCTAACATGTTTAATGAAAATTACTACAAGGTCCATGAGGATTCTAGTCAAATCCCTCAATTTTCGGAAGACGAGGAGGAGGATGACGGTGATGCTGATACAATTGAGGGTAGTGATGGTTCTGTGGAACGGCATGTAAATAACCCTGNCCCTGTTGAAGCTGACAGAAATCGGCCTGACGCCTCGGCCGATGCCCCGCCGGTCAAGAATAAGAAACGCCATAGTCTTACTGCTTTGGTGAGTCTTTGTTAGGTGTTTTAAGTTGGTTCGTTTCATCATTTGAATCAATAGGTAATCTATTCTTGCTGATTGATGTCTGCGCCTGATGTGAGAAATGAATTATCAGTTTCGGCATATTTATATTTCGCATTTGACTCAATTACTTGTGAGTTGTGGTGTGGGATAATTGTTTTTTATTGATTTGAGCTAACCATCCTTCGGACTTCACCTTCACGCACAATCCTCAGTTCATCGATTCGACCATGCACTCGGAAGTACTAGACTCGAGTTTCGCTCTTATTAGAGCTCATCAGTAGTGCATATCCACCGTCCCGTCCGGGATTTGAACTCCGGACCCATTGCATGGAAGGCGTGTGTGTTACCGCTGTGTCAACCGGCTCATACCATGGCTGAACCAAATTACCAATTCATGTTTGTTCAGGTGTCGTCCTCAGTGATAGTCAGTTTATTTGGCCCGACAGCAACGAAGGGAGGCAGATGACATACTGTTAACTCCAATCGCACCAGTCTGAATCCAGACTGTGTGCCCAATAAATCACGGTACAGTAATCTTTATGAAAAAGAAAGACGTTCCATGATTTGCATGTTGGCCATATACTGCCAGGTTGCCCAGGCCAAGGCAGTTTCGGTTGAAGTTGGAAACTTCTCTGAGGGGAAGACACAGCCAAGGGCATGTCTCCCCTATTAAGAAGTTTGATCTCGCCTTTATGCTTCGCATCATTCCGTGTTCGCATTTGTACGACTTTTGTAGGCCTATACTCAAAACAGTTCCTCGGAGTCATTACATTGGATTTGTGCTAGTGACAGAAAACAGAATAGAAAAATGAATGTTTTTACAACATCATGATTGAAGTGCATTTCACTCATTATTTTCCCTTTGTTGGTGAATGTGCGAGCTGGACGGTGAACAGTGGAATTCTTAAATGTATGTGAGGGGCAATATGTATACCGAAAACCATCAAATGTGTTCTCGAATGAGAGGAATAGGAATACGGGTCCGAGTACAATGGGTGAGTGTTGCCCCAAAGTATCTTGCAGGCGAACTCAGGGAAGGGTTGATTGTGTCCGTCATTAGGCTTGCAAGCCAATTTTTCAATAGGTCTGAAAGAAACACGGTCGACAATCAAAATTCTCCAAATTCTCCAAAAATTCTGGGCAATGTTGTGGGATAACATTAAAGTCGGATTGGAGGAATACGTTGGTGTTCTATACGTTTGAGCAGTTTTTTCGGGGTATAAAACCATCTGAGTTTATGAATATGAAATGACAGTTGTGGCTTACCAAAAAATAATTGTATGTAAAAGGTTCTTGGCAGGTTTGTGGTAATCCCACATCTTCCGAAGCATTACCCGTAGCCTTCACCGCTTTCGAGATTCCAGTTTTCTACTCTGTCATCTAAATGGTCAGCGAAAAGACAGCAACGGAGACTACTTCTTGAAGGTATATGATGAGTGATTGTAAAAACCAAACCGAACTGATGACTTCAGGAAATGAAAACCTAACCCCTGTTGCTTATGAAATCGTTTTCACTTGTGCAAAAGAGATGGCGTGTGGAACTCTGGTAAAGAGAGTGACACAGCTGAAAGATGACGAATACGGGAAACGATGAAATGAGATCATCTCGGACTATGACCGATTTTTCGTCAAATCCCCCTTTTAGGAATTGTGATTGTCCAACGATTAGTACGTGATGATGCGGTTTATGCCATTGCCTCTGTAAACACTCTTCGATTTCTTTTTTTTCACTAGCTATCATTTTATTTCATATAATTTCTTTGAATTTAGATATATTCACAGAAAGAGCAATTTATTCTGTTTTAAACAGCAAGTCATTAAGGCAACTTTGTTCCCCTGCAGTCACAGAATTGTCACCATTAATTTGTCATAAACAGTAAACTCCGCATTCCTTATGGGATTTCCCACCACATAACTAAATGATAAGAACCATATGCAAATCAATTTTTGT